ACGAGCTTCAGCTGGAGCGGGACCGGGTGGGGGGGCGGTGGGGTGGTGGGAGAGAGGGGGAGGAGAGCCTCTGGGGGCGGTAGAAGGGCCGGAGTGAGTCCGTCTTCCCTCAGGAGCGGCCAGCCCCTACTCTCTGACACTGACCTCGCTGAACAGTCTCTGGTTCTCGAAGCGGACGAGCCCGCGCTCCCGGTCCCGCTCCAGCTGAAGCTCGTTCAGTCCCAGGCCTAGGGCCGGCTCCAGCTCCGGGCCCGAGCCCCGCGGGGGAGACGCCGCTAAAGGCTGCAGCCGGACCCGGCGGGAGCGCCTGTCGCGGGGTCCACCATCACCGGCGGCGGGGCCTAAGGCCTCGGCCTGAGCCTGGGCCTGGGCCTGGGTCTCGCCTCCTTCCTCATCCGACAGCAGGTTCACGACTGCCGTGTCGAGCGGCAGCGCCATGAGCAGCAGGCTCCCAGTGGGATGGAGGGGGTTGTGGTGGCCCTTAGCGGCCGCCGTTCCAGCGCCGCCGCCGCCTCCCGCCCAAGGCCAGCGCCGCCATCTCGAAACAAAAGCTGCTTCCCTCAGCCGCAGGACAACCGCCCGCCTGCAACAACACCAAACCCCATTGGTTCAATCCGCACCTCCCGGCACCACCACCACAGTATCACCCGTTTCCATTGGCCCGAGCCTCGGACACACAACGACTCTGTCGCTTTGGTCCCAGTCTGACCACGCCCCCCACGGGCACACATCCCATTGGCCTACCGGGTCAAACCCCGCCCGCCACTGGTCCTTCCATAGGCTGAAGATCGGGGCGCCTCTCACCATTGGCTGAGGCGCGTGGCGCTGTCGGGATTGGACAGCCATGGGAGGTAGCCCCATTGATTGGCTGCAATGAGCGCGGTCACCGATTGGCCAACATCAGGAGCCCTGGTGATTGGTTAAACCATGTGCGAATGTGATTGGGACAACGTCAGGAAGGCTAGTGATTGGTTAAATGCAGGTAGATCTCGATTGGTCAGTGTCACGGAGGACAGTAATTGGTCAGAATCAGGGACATCGGAGATCTGTCAAAGTCAGGGTGGCCAGTGGTTGGTTACAGTTAGGTAGATAATGAATTGTTAGGGTCAGAGAGGTCAGTGATTGGCTAGAGTTAAGTAGATCATGAATTGTCAGGGTCAGAGAGGGCAGTGATTGGTCAGAGTTAGGTAGATCATGAATTGTCAGGGTCAGAGAGGTCAGTGATTGGTCAGAGTTAGGTAGATCATGAATTGTCAGGGTCAGAGAAGCTAGTGATTGGTCTGTTCGTGCTAGTCGTTGCTTGTTCAGCTGATGGTCAGAGTCAGGAAGTCTGTTATGAAGAAGGGTCACTGCATCCGAAATATTAACTCGACTTTCTGTCTTCACAGATGCTCCCAGACCACCTGGGTTTCTCCAGGCATTCCTATTTCAAAAAAGTCAGTGGTTGATCAGCTGAGGGTGGCCTGTGATTGCTGACAGTTCAGGACATTTTGTAATTGCTGACAGAGTGTTTAGTGATTGAGAAGGAAATTGGCTGTCGACCCCTAGTTTAATCGATTTGTGACCCCAAATCCACAGTAACATCCAAAGTTACTGCCTGTCAACTTCCACCTTCTATATTCGTTACCCTCATCAGACACCCTGCTTTGTACTGGTTGCAACCCATTTTCTACTTTTCACATTTCTCGTGAGCTTCCTACTCGATATTTATCTCTTCTCGGTTTATCAACAACGATCTCTTCGTTTGCCTACCTTTGTCTGTCTCACTGTAGGCACAGAATCCTTGTACCCTATTCAAAGCCCATACGTTCCGCCCCCCTCACCACATCAGGAAAAATACCCTTCCCAACTATTTTCACTCCTGAAGAAGATTCATGCCGGACTGGAAAAGTTGGCCCTTGCTTTTTCCTGTCTCTGCAGATGCAGAATTTCTCCAGCTTGGCAGTTTCGCCCAGTGCGCGTGCACGGCCGCCGGGCCCGGGGGAACGCATGCGTACTGCCTCGCCTCGAGCCTGCCTCTGACCTGTTGGGCGCATGCGCGGGGCTGGCGGTTCCTTTTCCTCCTGTGAAGCCGTTGTCTAGGGGAGGCCGCCATCAGCACCGCAAAAACCAGCCGCAATGGTGAGTCGGGGCCCGGCCAGGATGGCTACACCGCCTAGAATAGGGTCCCCTTCGCACGGATGGAAGGCTGATGGAGGCGGATAGGGTGGGATGGCGGCGATGTCGGATGGATGCGATAGCGGCGGAGCCGGTAGCCCGGCGGCCATTGCGGGAGGGGGGAGGGGAGAATGGGGGAGATGGAGATGGAGATGGAGGAAAGGGAAA